TTACCACCTCTAGAATCTCTAAATCACCTTGGGTTTAAGTGTCAGGGGTGGGGTGGGGGTTTATTGGGGTGGGAGATGCAGCCAAATTTCCTTTCTATCCTATGCCCCTCTCCTTTTTCAAAGGGTGAGCTTTGGAGGACATTTGGTCCTGGGAGAAGGCATCATGTCCCAGGAGAATGGTCTCTTATATGTCCACCCAAGAACCTTGCAATATACACATGTGTGTGTGTGTGTGTGTGTGTGTGTGTGCATAAGAGCAGAGGGGAAGGTGGAAAAAGAGAGGAAATTGTGACAGTTCTGAGATTGACATAACATTTTGGACAGTGGTGGTGAATGTTTGGTAGTGGTAGGGTCCCTGGGACCCCCCCCTTCCCAACCAATGCTTGCATTCTCTGCCAGGTGACTCACTGTCCTACCGGACAGGGGGCGGACCCTGGAGACCCGATCCTTGACCTTGGATTCTGACTCCATGGCTATAAGTGACTGTGAGTAAGCTCACAGCACCCTGAGTCAGCCCCTGGAGAGTCATAGTACCAGGGTAGGGGGTAGGGAAGGAGGAGAAAGCAATTTGTGATTCCTGGGGCATCAATAACCCTAGGGACAAGGGGTAAAATCTCAAATGTCCTCCTAATGCCAATTGAAAAATCACAGCTTTTTTCTAGTTACCCAGGCAGATTCACAGCCAAGTTTTTATATGCTTTGTCCTCAGGCAAGAATCCTGCCCTTGAGATCAGATGTTCCACCTGGCTTCAGATTTCTAAACAGTTAATAGGTATCTCCTGTCCTGCACTTGGAACTAGCTTTGCAAATAATTAAGTTAACTAGATTATTCGTCCCCATAGAGAGAAAAGGGATCCTAAAACAGCGGATGATCCCAAAACCATTTCCCTTTGGTTTTAGGCACTATTTGCACTTATATTTGAAGATAATCGTGTGAGAGATATCCCTTGTATCAGGAGAAATGGGTCAGCCTCCTCATCCTGTATCCTGGGACCACATTCACTAATTCTGGGAATGGATAACATCACTTCTTAGACTAGCCTGAGCAGGTTCAGATCAGAGCTGTCTTCAAATATATAAAAGACTACCATGTGAAAGAAGAATAAGACATACAAAATAATAATAGCTAATAGTGTTTACTATGTGCCAGGCACTCTGCTAAGTGCTTTTCAATTATTATCTTATTTAATCCTCACAACAACCCTGGGAGGTGGGTGCTATTATTATCATCTCTCTTTTACAGATGAAGCAACTGAGGCAAACAGGGATAAGTGACCTGCCCAGGGTCACACAGCTAGTCTGAGGCTATATTTGAACTCAGTTCTTCCTGGTTCTAGGCATAGCCCCTATCCACTGCGCTCCCTAGCTATAACTAACAATTGAGGGGGATCAGGAAAGGCTACTTCTAGGAGATGGTGCTTGAACTTCTGAGCCTTAAAGAAACAGGATTCTAAGAGGTCGAGATGAGTAGAGGAAGTCCTCCAGTTTGGGGAGACAGCTTGTGCAAAAGCTCAGACGGGGTAGAGAGGATGCCCTATGGAGGAACAGGTAGGAAACCAGTTTGTCTAGAACAGTGTTGGTGAAGAGGAGGAATATGAAGTACATCTGGAAAGAGTTTGGAGTCCAATTGTGGAGAATTCGAAATGCCAAAGGAGTTTCTATTTCATTCTTAAGCACGAAGGTGACCTGCTTAGAGCCTAGCTTGAGGAATATCAATTTGTCCATGGTTAGGAGGATGCATTGAAGAGAAGGCAGGCACACCAATGGACAGAAAAAAAAAGCAACAATTGAATTCAGGCTCACTGACTTCAACATCTAGATCTTACTTCAATTCAGATGAGGAAAGATATTAGGAAGAAAGTAGCATTTGAGCCAAGATTTGAAGGAATTTAGGGGTTCTAAGAGATAGAGGTGAGGAGAGAATGTATTCCAGGCATGGGGACCAGCCTGGGCAAAGGCATGGAGGTGGGAAATGGGGTGGTTCCATTCAGAAAACAGCAAATAGGCCGGTTTGGTTAGAATGTAAAGTGTGTGAGGGGAATAATATTTAATAAATCTGGAATAGTAAGTTGGAGCCAGATTTTGAAGGGGTTTAGATGCCAAACAGAAGAGTATGTGTTTTATCCCAGGGGCAACAGGGAACCACTGAAACTTCTTGCTTCATTCTTTGACATTTTATCTCCAGTGCCCAGTACAGTGCCTGGCACATAGTAGGTACTTAAAATACTTTGATTGATTGAGCAAGGAAGTAACAAGGTTGGCCTGCTGTTTCTATAATATCACACTAGCAGCAATGTGGAATATAGGTAGGGGACAAACAAAAGGTTTTTGTCCAGTCATTCTTCAGTCTTGTCTGACTCTTTGTGACCTTATTTGGGGTTTTCTTGACAGAGATATTGGAGTGGTTTGCCATTCTCATCTCCATCTCATTTGACGGATGAGGAAACTGAGGCAAACAGGGTAAAGTGACTTGCTCAGGGTCACACAACTAGTAAGTGTCTGAGACCAGATTCAAACTCAGGAAAATGAGTCTTCCTGACTCCAAGCCTGATATTCTATCCACTACACCACTAGTTGCCCATAAATTGAAGGTAGGAAACTCAATTAGGAGGCTTCTGCAGTATTCCAGGTAAAAGGTGATGAAGATGGCAGCCTTGTAAGTAGACAGAAGGGGGTAGCTATGGGAGAATGACAAGCCTTAGAAGGGGTGTGGGAGTGGGAAGAGGCAATGATGACTGACACTGTGAACTCATGTGCCTGGAAGGCAGTGGTACCCTCAGAATCAGAAAGTTGGGAAGAGACAAGAGTTTGGAGGGAAAGACAAGGAGTCTTCTTTGACAATGTTGAGTTTGAGATACCTATTGGGCATCCAAGGGAACACATCCAGCAGGCAATTGGTAATGTAGGGTTGATGCTCAGGAGAGTGGAGAGCTGCATAGGTAGATTTGGGAATTTGTAATAATTGTAGATTAATTCACGAGAGCTGCTAAGATGTGTGTGTGTGTGTGTGTGTGTGTGTGTGAGAAAGAGAGAGAGAGAGAGAGAGAAGAAGAAGAAGAAGAAGAAGAAGAAGGAGGAGGAAGAAGAAGAGGAGGAGGAGGAGAAAGGTGAAGGAAAGGGGGAGACAGAGGAGAGGGAAAAGAGAAGGAAAGAAAGGAGAGGGAGAGGAAAGAAGGAAAAGGAGGGAGGGAGAGAACAGAGAGTAAGAGAGGGGCAGGGAAAGGGAGTGCACATATCATAGGGTGGGGGTTTGGATTAATTTACTGGACTCCTAGGTATGAATTCTGTTACTGTGAGTAGATGTATGACCATAGGATTCACCCCTTTGAACCTCAGTTTCCTCATCTGTAAAATGGTGATAATAATAATTCCTGTAGTAGCTAATCCATTAGCCAGTAGCTAATATTTGCAATTATCGTGGCCTCTAAGATGCCTTCCAGTCCTGAGATTCTAAGATTCAAGCTGTTCTCTCTTAGTGGACTAGGGCATACCAACTACCTCTGGAGACTGGTCAGGCAATTGTTCGAATTTAAGAGGATTACGACAAAAAAAAAGCCTTTTCTTGAGGAGGGACAATTAAATATGTTAGATCATCAAATCATTTAGTGTTAGAGTGGTGTGAATGTCAATAAGAACTTGAAAGTAAAGATGTTCTAAAAACCCAAGGCAGGTGGTCAATCTGCACATAACGGAGAATTAGGTTCACATACCAAGCAAGACTAAACTCCCTCCTCCCACGTCCCTACCCCCTCAACCTATTGCACAGATTGGACCAGATCTCTCTCAGCATCCTGTGGATTCATGGATGAATTCATGGGGGATACTAAAGGCCAGGGCTGGTCTGATCCCAGTTAGGCTAGAAAACCACCTATAAAAGATTCAGAAGTAGCTACATTCCTCACAATACTCCCTTAGCTGTTAGTTTCAAATCCCCATTGTTATGGACTGTGGCTGGTGGTTTGGTTTCTTTAGTTTAAGGCTTTAACGACTTTCTAATCCTTAAACAACAGAGGGGCAAATACTTTGAAGTTATTATTCATTTAGAGCCTAGGAGAGGGTGAAGGTTAACCAGAGAAGGGAGATTTTGAGGGCATTGGCTGTGTGGGGGCAGGGGAGGAGGAGGCCAGGAGGGACTTCACAGAGAGAAGACAAAGATACAGAGTGGGTAAATTGTGTGTGGGAGGGGAAGGCATAGAATATATACTTTGTCCCTTCACAACTTTGCCCCAGAGGGGCTCCAAAAAGTCTTTAGAGACCCTAGGGCACTTCAGGGAGAGGAGGATGAACACGAACACTTTATAAATTGGAGCAATCCTTACAACCATGAAAGGTCTGGGTTCAAGTTTGGGCATCAGGGAAGCGGGGCCCTGGAGAGTTGACTAAAAGGACAGAATGTAGAAAGGAATAGGAGACTGGAACCTAGGAGAGGCAGGGAGATGTGGTGATTTCTCCTGTTCTCCATGATGCAGCCTTGGAGTTGGAATCACAGCGCCTGAGTTCAAATCTATGCTTCTATGATTTGTGCCAATTTGGGCAAGTCACTTAAGTGCTGAAACTTGGATTTCTCATGTAAAATGAGGTACTTGGCTTAGACAGAGGATGTCTAAGGGCCCAGAATCACAGAATCATGGGACTGGAGAGTTGGAAGGGATCTCTTTCTTTACTGGCTATCTATTAGAAGCTTACTTAAAAGGACTAACATAGTCAACTAGTACTTTATCTAACCCTTGCTGGAGGACATCCAAGAGGGAGAAACCTACCCTTCACCCCTCAGGGTAGCCCATTCCAATTCAAGATAGCTCTTAGCTCCAGCTTTAACATTCCATGATCCTATGAACTCTGACATCCAGGTTCTAAGATTGGTATTATTTCTCTTTGGACCAAAGACTGAAATGTGAGTGGAAGGAGAGAAGTAGGGAGAAGTGATTTGGGAGAGGACCAACAAAGTGGCAGGTACTGCTAGGGGCACAAAGACAAACTGAGGCTCAAGCAGATTTTTGGACAGTTCCCTTTATAAATAAACAGTGGGATTGAGGAAGTAGAAAGGAAAGTGCTCCAGGGTTGCAGCCAAATCTCTTCTCTAAGGAGAACCAACAAGCAAGACTATGCAGAGGCCTGTATGGTTGTGACCCTAGGATAGGGCCCCGGACTGAGTGAAGGCTGCCACTCTAGGCAGTAGCAGTATCCAGAGTGAGTATGCCTCAGTGGCCCAGGGGGCTTAGCAATCAGCCCATGGACAGCTCCACGACGTGGAAGCACAGGCAACCCACCACCAAGTTTTCATGGAGGGTCAACTGTGTGGCCAGACTTGGTCCTGGTCTTCAGCCCTCGCTCCCTGTCCCTCCCCTGCTCTCTCAAACTCCAAAGTGACCCCTGAGGCAGAGAACAGAAGTGAGGAGTACATTTGACCTTTAGAAGACATTCTTATGACCAAAGGTATTTTCTCACTGTAAGACACATTCCCCATACCCAGCTCTTACTCCCAGCTGGGCTGAGGTGATGACAATGGTGGTATGTATGTGTGTAAGAGTACACAGATGTGTGTGTGTGTGTGTGTGTGTGTGTGAGAGAGAGAGACAGAGAGAGAGACAGAGAGAGAGAGAGAAAGGGAGAGGATTACACTTGAACTCTGGCCCCAGAGCAGAGGCAGAAAGGGTGGGAAGCAGAGAGGGATGGCATGCCAGGGTCTAAGTAGAGAAGAGGGCATCCTTGATGGCCACTGTCAGGGGGAAGGGCTTCTGATTGCAGAAGGTACCCTGGAAGTCATCCAAGTCAAGAGCCCACACCATGGCTCCTGCCAGATTCATGGTCTTCAAGAACTGTACCTAGAAGAGTAGGTGAAACAAAGGACAGGGTTAGATTTCCTGGAGGACACTAGGATATATATGTATGTATATCTATATGGTATACTATACCGTATACCATGTTAGAAGAAAAGGTGGGGTGAGGAGGCAGCAGCACCTTGAGTCCTTAGAGACAGCCCCACGATCTCCCACCCTGGAAACAAGGGTGTTGTCTCTCCTCTCCACCCCCCCCCCCCCCGCCCCCAAAGGAGCCCCTACCTTGGTTTTGACACTTTCCTGATCCTCATACCCCACCCATTGGTTGCCTTTTGTGGCATAGGGGACCTTTTGTTCCAAAATCCTCTTAGCAGTGGCTCCAGGGAGGAATTCACAGACCTAAAAGGGAAAAAAAAGAAAAGAAGAGATGCTAGCTGAGAATTTCCCCAACTGAATAGACCCTAGGACTGTCTGCCCCCTATTCTCAATCCCTTACTTTTCTGGTTCCCGCTTCTGCATGTAGCAGAAACACCCAGACCTGGTTGACACTCAGAGATCCAGATTGAGTTCCATGCAAAATGAAATGCAAAGGGGAGAATTCTGAGCTGCAATAGCCTGTGGGTTCTTCTCTTGTCGGGAGGAGGGGAGGGAGAGAACAGGTGATACTTGTCGATACTTGTCGATCAATCAACAAGTGTGTATTAAGCATCTACCGTGTGCCAGGAACTGTGTGAGGTGAGGGAGATACAAAGACAAAAATAAAAATCTCTGCCTTCTATACGAGGAGCTTCTATGGAGGAGACCACATGTGCACATAACTAGGGGGTTAAGTATGATAAGGCTGGAAAGGTAGAGAAGGGCCATGTGAGAAAGGGCATTAGCCCCTCACCATCACCAACTCTCACCTCTGAGAAGGCTTTCCACCCTTATTGCCACCTCCCATCAGATGTCCCAGCTCTAGTGAAGAGGATGAACATTGGAAATCAGGTTAGCAGGGAGTGGGAGGGAAGGAGCCTTCTTTCTTCTGACACTACTGCCCTTTCCTTTTGATCACCTCATAATAGGCCAGAATCCCTGGCTCTTTGGTGTAGAGTCCTGCGGTCCCACTTCCCAGGATTGGTGCTCCAACTTCAGAGTGTTGGTAGAAGGCCAGGGTGAAACTATTCGCAAAGGTTGGGATACCCATGATCAGTTTTCTAGCTGGGGCCCCCTTCAACAGCATATAGTTCACAGCATATCTCTGGGGAGGAAAGGAATGAATATCATTAACATTTACTTGGCTAGGAGGAAAATGAAGCCCAGTGGTTTATGCAAAATCATATTCCGGAGCTTCCACTCAGGTCATCTGATTCCAAGTGCACTGCTTTCTCTACTTTATAATGTTGCCCATCCTGTGGACTAGTCTATTGATCCCCAGGGGGATTCTCCAGTGCCTTATACTGTCCTACCAACCTACTTTCGTGTTTTCAATGATCCTCTTTTTCCCCCAACCTTAAATGGTATTCACAACATTGCTGTAACTGTCATCCTTTTTTCCCTTGTACAGGGGGCTATGGTGACCTGTGGTCTTTTGCCAGGCTCCATGGAAGTTATAAGTCATGAGACTGATAAAATCCAAGTACTTGTAGCAAGGATGGTAGTGGTTTGGATTGGGTTTGAGGATTGGTACTCACGACATTGCTGTAACTGTCATCCTTTTTCCCTCTGTACAGGGGGCTGTGGTGACCTGTGGTCTTTTCCCAGGCTCCATGGAAGTTATAAGTCATGAGACTGATAAAGTCCACGTACCTGTAGCAAGGATGGTAGTGGATTGGATTGGGTTGGAGGGGTGGGAGCCAAAAGTAACCATCATCTTCAGTGCCATCATCACCACCACCTTAACAAAACTCAAGCTCTATTGCACGAGATAAGACGGGACAAAGATGTTACCCAGACAAGTCCCTGACCACAGGAGCTCATGGTGGATGGCCACATCACCATATATTCAGATAGGAATAATCCTTCATTCTCTCCAGGATCTCAGATTTAGTCCTCACGGACACTCCTTTCTACAGGTGCAGGTCAACATCCTTCTATAACTTGGCAGACAGTTTTTGCTAATCCCTATGGCTGACAAACTCATCATCCTTTAGTCAACCTTGTGATGAGCTTCTCTGATTTTGATTCAATTTAACAAATATTTATTAAGTATCTACTATGCTCTAGGGCTGAAGATCAATCAGCTAATCAACAAACATTTATGAAGTGTTAATCATATATTAAGTGCTTAGAATTCAAAGAAAAGGCAGTAAAATTGTCCCTGCCCTCAAGTGGCTCCTGTTTTATTGGGGTGAAACTGTACATACTCGGTTAAGCAAATACAAAATACAGAGCATCCAGTTGTAGCTAGTATTTCTATAGTGCGCTAAAGTTGGTAAAGCCCTAGACACAGGTTACATCATTAGGTGGTGAGGCCAGCATTAGCGCCTCGGGGATCAGGAAAGGCCTCATATAACAGGTAACCTGAGTTGAGCCTGGCTAGTTTTCTGGCCACAAATATGTAACCATTCCCCATGCCCATATTCTTGAAGCTTTTTGAGGATGGTGGAATCTGCCAGAGCTTCAAATCCATTGGCATAGACTTTGGGAAATTGGCATAGAGAGTCACCTCTAACTCAAGATGAGGCATTGGAAGAAGGTGTTAGTGGAGCTTCAGAGAACAGAAGAAAACCCCGACTTAACCAATGCGACTTGTTTCCAGTTACCTGTCTGTGGCTAGCCTGATCTGGGGATTTCTGGGCCACTTCTCCAACCCTGTGATGAGGGGAGGCTTAGGGAATGGCAAATTCATTTTATTTTATGAGCCTGGGAGCTGCAGGGCTCAGGGCTCTTCTGCAGGGAGAGGGTTGCCAGGATTGCAACTCTAGGGCTGTATTCTCCTCCAGAAGTACAGATAAAGAAGAGTTAACTTACAAGATTGCAGGGGAAAGGGTTAAAAGAAGTGATGAAATTTTCATATGTATTATAATTAACACTCAATTGACACTTAAGGTTCTCAAAGCACTTTACATATATTACCTAATTTCATTTGCCATGATAAATGATCATATTTGCCATGATAAATTTTTTACCCCACGTGGGGTAAGAAACAAAATCAGTTGAATCTAACAGATGTTTAAATGCCCATGAACTCTATCCATCCTTTTGATTCAGCTTGGGGTTCAAAGCTCTTCATAACCTAACTCCTCACCTTTCCAGTCTTCTTGCATTTGACTTCCCTCCTCCATATTCGGATCCAGTGACACTGGTCTCCTGGTGGTTCCTTATACAAGAAACTCCCTCTCCTGACTAGGAATTTTCTTGGGATATTCTGCCATGCCTTGAATTCTCCCCATCCTTATCTCAGCCTCCTGGCTTTCCCAGCTTCAAGTCCCAGCTAGAATCTCATGTTACAAGAAGCCTTTCCCAATTCTCAATGCTTGTGCCTTCCCTCTACGATTATGTCCAATTTAGCCTGTATAAATCTTATTTGTACATAGTTGTTTGCATGATGTTTCCCCCATTAGGCTGTGAAGTCCCCCAGAGCAGGTATTGTCTACTGCCTTTCTTTGTCTCTCCAGCTATTATAGCACAGTGCATGGCACACAGTAGGTGCTTAATAAATATCTATTTATTATGACTGACTTACCAACATTTGCAAGAGGGGTTGAGTCGGTAGATTGAACATTGAATGCTTGAATGTGTAATGATGAAGTAGTGCTGAGGTCCACTCACCTGATCATTACTTCTTGGCACTTCAATCCCTGAATTAGTATATGTACTATATCATCTATATGATTATATATCTTTAAAAAGGTTTTAATTGCTATTTCAGCTTCCAATCTTTCTTGTCTGCTGTCTAATCTCCATGCAGCTGTCAAAACAATCTTCCTAAGAAAACTTCTGGCCATGTCACTCCCTTTCTCAAAAGCCTCAGATGGCTTCCAATTGACTATAGGACAAAATACAAACTTCTCAGCCTGCCATTTAAGACCCTACGCAGTCTGACTCCAGCCTTTCTTTCCAACCTTATCTCAAATGACCTCCCTTCATGTACTCAGTATGATAGTCAAACTGGACTGAGAGCTCATACCCGAACTCAGCCTTGCTCCTTCTACCTCCCACTGCTGGGCAGCCACACAAGTCTTCTTCCATGATTGGAAGAGTCTCCCTCCTCAGCTCTACCAGCCAGTGTACAGGCAGCCCCTATGGGAATGTAAGCTCCTCCCAATGATGAAGAATGGCAGAGAGGAGATGGCTTCCAGGAACAGGAGATGCACATTCTGGGGCATGGCCAATGCAGAGATTTTATTTTTTTGCTTTTGCTTTACATTGCATATCTGTCACAAAGGTTTTGTTTTTATTTATTTATTTTTCAGTGGGACAGAAAAGATGGGAGGGAAAAAATTAATACTTGATAATTGAAAAAAGTAAAATTTAATTGAAAAAAATCCCAATTACAACTCACCTAAAAAATAAAGAATGTAAGCTGTTCAATACATTAATATACACAGAAATTTAAAAAAATTAAAAAATATAAACAGAAATTTTTAAAAAAACACCATAAAACAACTGAAGATGGTTGTTGGGAAATTATGAAGAACAAAGCAGAGATATGAGAAAACCTGTCTCTGCCCAACCTTCTTTGCAGATGTGTGGGAGTGGGGAAGGGGAATGGTTAGGGAACATATATAATGCCAGATTTTTTTCTATGTATTTATTGGCCTGGCTGATTGTTCCCGCTTTGTCTTTGTCTTTCTTTTAAAAAAAATTCTTTATTATGAGGCATTGCTCTCCGTAGGGGAGAGAGGGAGGGATGCAAGGGGAAATCTGAGCCATGTAAAAATAAAAGATATCAATAAAATCTATTTTTAAGAGAATGTCTTGAGGATAGGGAACATGTTTTTGCCTTTCTTTGTATTCTCAGTGCTTAGCACTGTGCTTGGCACATAGTAAGCATTTAATAAAATCTTGTTAATTGACTGACTAATCCCTCCATCAGTTAGTGCTCTCATTCCCTCTCCTCAAATTACCTTGTTTTATTTCCTGTGTTCATGTTGTACCTATCTGCTCAGAAGAACTGAGTCTCTTTAAGAAGAGGGTTTTTCAACTTTGTGCGCCCAACACCTAGTGTGTGCAGTGTCTTGCACGTAGTAGGCACTTAAGAGGTGTCTGCTGGACTGGATTGAAAAGGCTGAGGAAAAAAATTCCTGTCCTTGAAGACTGGATTTCTTTTTCTTGCCTCAACCTCTCCAGATGGGAAAGAATATACGAAAGGGCTCAGTAAACTGAGAAGCTAATGCAAAGGTAAGGTATTGGCATTATTCTCCCCATGGCAGCCACCACCGTCACACCACTACCATCATTGCTGTGAAGGTCATCATCTTATGTAGAATTTGATTCTTTGTCTCATCTGATTCTCGCAGTACTCCTATGAGTAATTCCCTAATGCTTCATCTTCTTCCTCCCAGCACTTGCATAAGCTATTCCATATGGCTGGAATCTAACCTGTTAGCAAGGGAAGACAGGAGCCTCCTTGTGACAGGTGGCGTTACAAAGGTACCAAAGACATTCAGTGACCTTCCCAAGGTCATGTGGAATTAGTAGCAGAGCTGAGACTAAAACCCTGATCTCCTGCTTCCTGGTTCATTACCCTGTCTATTCAATAGCCAGATTGGGCAGGGTCAGGTAGGGAAACCAAGGGAGGCAGAGATTTGGGAGGAGCCACTGGGGAAAATCACATGAGAGACCAGAGAGGGAAGACTCACTCAGAGATCTTGCGGATGTCATAGCCTTCATTAAGTTTGACCCTCCCGGCAGGCAGTGCTACACTGAGCAGAAGTCTCTCCTTTCGAGTCCTCCGAGCTTCTTCGGAGAATTCAGTTTTCATTTCCTGAAAGAGATACTCTCTGTACTGGTCCTGCGAGCCTCTGATCCAATCTGCCTTCTTCCCTCTCCCATGACCCTGCCCCCTCCCTCCATGCTGGTCAACCCTGTTGAGGCTTGAGGAAAGAGAGCTCTCCATCCTTTCACCCCACCCGTTCTTTTTACTTGAGAGGCTATTTCCATGTCCATGAATGCCAGCTCTGAATTATCTGCTCAGCTAGAATTAGACGATGGTGTGGAAAAACCCACACTGAGGGAGTAATCTTAAACTCTTTCCTGTGTAAGGATCATAGATCTGGACCTCAAGGGGACCTCAAAGGCTTCCTAGTCCAAACTCTCATTTTACATAAAGAAATTGAGGCCCAAGGAGATTAGGCGATTTGTCCAAGATCACACAGTATCAGGGGCAGGATTTGAACCCAGGCTCTCTGACTCCAAGGCTAGGCTTCTTTGCACTGTACTACTCTAATATTTGTTATTTCTTAGGGGAAGCAGGTTTTTCTGCCTAATTTTGCTTTGCTCAAAACTAATAAAATGAGACTTTGCTTCCCTAGCACACATATAACATGAAACGAAGGGAAATTATAATGAATTTTGTGTTGAGGTCTTTTTTCTTAAAGGGATTTCCCCATAGGGGTCTAGATGTAAATGGAGACATTTAGGTTGTTATGCAAGGTTATAGGCAGCCTGGGATTAAACACTGCCATGGAAGGAAGAAAGGAAAGAAGGAAGGAAGGAAGGGAGGGAGGGAGGAAGAAAGAAAGGAAGGAAAGCATTTATTAAGCACCTATTATGTGCCAGGCCCTACGCTAAGCATTTTAAAAATATTGTCTCATTTGATCCTCATGATAGCTCTAGAAGTTAGGTGCTAAACTTGGGAGGGCAGGTTGCTAAGGTCAATAATTGAGAGGTGGCAGTATCTCCAACCAGCTCCTGCCACCTCAAAGCAAAGGGAGAAAGAGCACCATGCAATGTCCTCTCTTCTCATGAGATCTCTAAACCTGAAACAGGTATTCCCCAGTCTTTAGCACACCAAGGCCAACAGACAGAGCTGTTCTGTAATATCTACAGAACAAGAATTTCTACTTGTGCCTTCCCTCTATTAATGAATCCCTTTCCTCTGTTAATTATTTCCTATATATCCTATATTTAGCTTGTTTGTAAATATTTGTTTCTTTGTTGTCTCTTCCGTTAGACTTCATTAGTTCCTGCTCCTTGAGGGCAGGGACAGTCTTGCCTTTCTTTATGTTTCCAGAGCTTCCCACAGTGCCTGGAACATAATAGGTACTTAATGAGTGCTTATTAATTGACTGACAGCCTCTCATTCCTATTCTAGAGTCACTCAACCTATGAAGTCAGAAAGACATTCCCAATGTCTGACCTAACTACCATCTCCTACAGTGTAAGCTTGCTTCCTTTTTTCTGTCCACAGCAGAAGTAGAAAACAGCTCCAGCAGTTGCTAAGATCCACGTCCTGACCTCTACCCAGCTCCTCCTGACCTTCTCCTTCATCCCTCCCTCCAACCCCATTGGGTTTCCATACCTGAAGCAGTGAAGTGTAACTTTTTTTATCTCTCCGTCCTGGGTAGAGCCAGGCTAGGTCCAGGCCGTCAAAGTTGTGTGTCCTCAGGAATGTTGTGACTGAGTTGATGAAGGTCCTTCGGTTCTCAGTTTGGGATGCCATGTCAGAGAACCTAGAACCCAACCCCCCTGACTTGTAAGTTCCGTGCAGAAGGGCTTGGGAATTCCAGCATGGTAAATGAAAAAAAAAGTTCTGAACTGGGATTTAAGACACTTAGTTCTAATCCTGGCTCATTATATGACTTGTTTGTTATATAACTGTCCTTACTCATATGACTGTTGACAAGTCACTTGCCTCTATGGACCTCAGTTTCCCGTTCTGTAAAATGAAGGGTTGATCTCTAAGGTTTCTTCCGGCTTTAGGTTCATAGATTTCGGGTTGAAATTGACATTGGAGTATGCCTAGTTCAACCCCCTAATTTACTGAGGCCTGGAGAGTTTAAATAAAATGTCTAAGTCTACACAGGTAGTAAAAAGCAAAGGCAGGATTTGAACCCAAGTCCTCTGGCTTCTATCCCAGTACACTTTCCACCATACTATACTGCCTCCTCTAATGTTCTATCAGTCAAACGCCTGTTCTAGTCTAAGTCAGTTTTCTGAGGGACTTGAGGAGTCTGGAACCAAAGAGTACTGAACATCTGATGAGAGGCAGCAAGAGAGGCAATGTACTTAGCACTGAAAAGTTTTCCCAACCGCGCTTTAAGGTTCCTCCACCAAAAGCCACTTTAGTTATTCATTGCTTGTATCTATTTTCTCCCTTCGTGATCTGAGAACATTTCTTGCCATCACCTATTCATATCTTTGAGTCTTCCTATAGGCTATATCCACTGCCAGGGATGTCATCAATCCTTTCCTTCTCCAAATCCTGTCCTTCTGCTTCTTCCAAACTTGGCTCCAACTGCACCTCCTCCAGGAAGCCTTCCCTGACTAGCCACAGCTGGCTTAGCTCACCTTTGTTGTGTCCCACAGAGCTGGTGACAGTGACTGTCTAACTTTGGGGTTCATACTCACTCCCTTGCCCCTACATTCTAGGTCTGTGTTCCTCACACGTAATACTCCATCTCCCAACTTCAAGCATTTTCTCTGACGGTCCCCCATTCCTCACCCTGGTTTCCTGACTCACCTTGTTTTCTTCCAATTCTCAGCTAAAGTCCCTGAGTTTCTGGGAAAAAAAAAAACAAAAAACCTTCCCCCATCCTCCTTAATCTTTCTTAGTGCCTTTCTTCTGCTGATTATCTTCAATTTATGCTGTAAATAGCTTGTTTATACATAGTTATTTGCCGTTGTCTCCTCCATTAAACTGTGAGCTCTTTGAGAACATGGACCATATTTTTGCCTTTCTTTGCATCCCCAGCTCTTAGCACAGTGCCTGGAACATAGTAGGTACTTAATAAATGCTTGCTGACTGACTGAATATCCATTCTGTGCCACCTAGAGAGAGTGGTAGTGAACTCCCTGTGACTGGGAAGTCTTCATGCAGCGGCTGTTTGACCAATTGTCTTAGTTTGTGTACAAGATATTCTTTCTGAGGTACCAAATCAGACCAAATTACCATTGAAGACCCTTTCAATTCTAACACATTGTGATTCCAAGTTCCATAAGAACCTCTTCTACTACCACCCTGCCAAGTGTTCACTTATCAAGCCTCTACTTGAAGACTTCCAGTGATGGGGGACTAACCACTTCTTGAAGCAACCCATTGCTTTTGAACAGTGCCACTTATTAAGAATTTTTTCTTCCATAGTCTAAATCTCTCAATTCTATCCACTAGACCCTAGCAGAACAGCTCCAATCCTTGTGCTACAAGGCAGGCATTCAGATATCGGAAGACAGCTATCACCCACCCTATATCTTTTCTTTGCTAGGCAAAACATTCCCAATTCCTTCAGTCAATCTTTGGATGGCACAATTTCCAGTACCCTCTTCATCTAGATCACCCTCCTCCAGTTAGGCAATGTCCTTTTTAAAATGTAGCACCTGGAACTGAACAGATGTGGTCTTACCAGGGTGGTCTAGAGCAGGACTATCTGAAAACTTACCTCCCTACCTTCCTTTCTGTTTTACCTCATGGGCAAAAGGGATGGTAGGTTAGTGGGCAGATGAGACTGTCTAGGGAAGATGAAATCTTACCTCTTGGTTTCCAGGCTCCATCCACCCACTGACAAGAGTGTCTTCAGTTTGGTGTTCCTGTGGGGCAAGGGAGAAGAAGAGGACAGGGTTGGGCATAAGCTTTCAGGTAAATCCTGGTTAGTCACCTCCCTCGGATGCTCTAGAAGGAATTCTTGGTCTTTGGGAGGTTGGACCAGAAGGCTCCTAAATTCCTTCCAACTCAAAGATCCTATTCTTCTAGGAGGTCCTTATATCCCTTCCCATTGTTAACAGGTTCATCAAGAATTGTTAGCACATTTGATTTAATACTAGAAGGCGCATTAGAAAGTATCCTAGTCTACATCTTTCATTTTACAGATGAGAAGACTGAGTCTTTAGAGAGGCACAAGTAGTATGAAGGTTCATAGAATCATAGATATAGAGCTGGAAGGACCTCTGGGGCTATCTGACCTCACCCTGTCATTTTACAGATGAAGAAACTGAGGCCGATGGAGAATAAGTGACTCGGCCAAAGTCACACAGATTGGCAAGATTTGAATCCAGGGCCTCTGGCTGCAGAGCTCGTACTGTTTCCTAAAATGTCCAATTTTAGACTTGTCAATACATATCAGGAGCAAGGGGCAACTGAAGATCACTGGGGTTTATAGGATTTAGAGCTGACAGGACCTTGGAGATCATCTGGGCCAACCCCTTCATTTGACAGAGAAAAATCTCTTAAAATGACTTATTTTACATACACCTAGTAAGTAGCAGAGCCCGGATTTAACCCTATGTATTCTGACTCCTTTACAAGGCAGCTACCCCTGTCTCCAGTAGTCTTCCTGTTGTGTCCTACGAGAAAGCTTTAAGATGACCGCAGTGGAATCATGGCACCCTGGAACCATAGACCATCTGATCGGTTCTCTGCCTTTACGAACATCTGCTATTGGCTGATGGCGGCTGACTTTCCAGAACTGGGAGTGTGCCCACTCCCTGAGGAGGAATCATCCGTACAGTCAAGAGGGAATGCTTCTGAGGAGGTGTTTAGGGCTTGGCTTCCACAGAAGCAGTCAATCTTCTTGGGGTCCACTGGGGAGTAGCAGAAACTCCTCCTCCACTCCACTTTGACCTTGAATGTGATGTGGCAGGAAGAGCATTGGATTTCCAGTCATAAGACCTTGGCTTGGATCCTAGCTCTGCTATTTACTACATGCGAGATCTTGGCCAAGTTATCTGTCTTTAGGCCTTAGTTGGCTTAATTGTACAATGAGGAGTCTAGAAAGTTGATTGTTCTAAATCCTCTACTCTTATGGCTCCCACAACAATATGGCAAGCTTCACAAGCTCTGTCCCAGATGCCTCATCTTGATCTTCTCCCTGCTCCATAGGACTCTTCAAACCAAGCTTAGAGCCCTAGAAGTATCAGGCATGAGAATCTACTTCAGGGGTCCAGCATTATGTACACTTGTTTGGCCAGTCGGTAAAAAAAAATGTTGTTCCACCCTGGTTACCATCATCTCTTGCCCCTGTCCTTTGTCTAGTCACAGCCAGGAAGAAGAAAGCGAGAGGGGCCTGGTGGCTCACCTTTGTTTGAGCTCATTCAGAGTTTCATAGAGCGTTACATCATTCCATTCCCAGGTATCAATCTGATTATTGCTGATGTTGGCAAAACTGTAGATGATGTGGGTACACAAGTTGGCGTCAATGTCATCTGGAAGGCACGAGGCATCTCCATCCCGGTACTGGGACCAGCTGGTATAGTAGCAGACCAACTTGTAAGCACAGCCTAAGAAAAGAGGGGAAGAAAACAGGTGCATGGGCCGGGGCCAATGAGTCATTATTCTGAATACTCTGTGAGAGGAACATTTCCAGGACCTTTGGGTGTGGATGGGAGCATATCTAGAGGGAGGAAGGGATACAGTCCCTAATCTTGGGAAGTTGGTAGGGAAATTATAACTGCCATCCTCCGGGAGATGCCAACCTAATCGGGGAGGCATGTAATCCTTGATTTCTTGCTCTCAAGAACTACAATGACATTAACTATCTAAATTAAAGTGATTATTAATGATATTGCTGTTCAGTCATTCAGTCACTTCCAACTCTCTGTGACCTCATGGACTTGATCATGGGGCTTTTTTGGCAACGATACTAGAGTGGTTTTGCCATTTCCTTTTCTAGTATATCCCCCATTTTACAGAGGTGGAACTGAAGTAAATATGGGTTAAGTGACTTGCTCAGGGTCACTTGCACAGGTAACAACTGTCTGAGGCTGGATTTGAACTCAGGTCTTCCTGACTCCAGTCATGAAGGTAGAATTAACTAGGCTTGGCAACTGATTAGATAGAAGGGGTAAAGGAATGCAGAAAAATTGAGGATGACTCTGAGCTTGACAACCTCAGTGACTGGAAGGATGGAGGTGTCCTCAACAAAAATAGTCAGGAAGAGGGGAGGATTTGAGAGGAAAAATAATTAGTCCTGTTTTGAGCATGTTGATTTTGAGGCAGTTAGGTGGCTCAGTGGGTAAGGGTGCTGGCCTTGGAATCAGGAATCCTACCTTAGACACTTAACTGGGCAAGTTACTAAACTTTCTCAGCCTCAGTTCCCTCATCTGTAAAAACAAGGATAATAACTGCACCTACCCCCCCCCCCCCCACCCGGACAAAGAGAGATGATATCTGTAAAGCACTTAGTAAACCTCAAGGTGCAAGCTATTATTGTTATTATTTGAGAAGACTAGAGGACGTCCAGTTGGAAATGTCCAATAAGCATTTGGTGATGTGGGCAATAGTTCAAGAGAAAGACCAGTTCTGCCTTTATAGAGCTTGGAGTCATCTGCATAGAGGTGATAGTTGAATCCATGGGAGATCTTGAAAAGAAAGTATAAAAAGAAAACATTCCTTGCACTTAAAGAGCTTACATTCTCTGGGATCCAATCTTACATAGAGACAGAGGGCTGGAAAGAGTGGCCTTCTAATTTATGCAGAGCAAAGAGGAGCTCACAGAAGATAATATGGCAGATAGTCTGGGAGAGAACGTTACTCTAGCTTCAAGAATGCTGATCAAACAAGCTCACACTGTAACAAATCTCTCCTCTCTTCCTCTTCCCTTCTCTCTCTCCTCTCTCCTCCCCATCTTTCCTCTCCTTTCCTCTCCCCCTCTATTCTCTCCTCCCTTTTCTCCTTTTCTTTCCTCTCCTCTTCCGTCCTCTTCTCCCCTCCCCTCTCCTATCTTCTCCTCTCTCTTCATATACCATCCCCTTCTTCCTCCTTTTCAACAGAGGACTTTGCTTCATACTTTACTGAGAAAATTGCCATGAGTTACCTCTTGTCCTGTTTTACCTTTCCAAGTCACTTGCAATCTGGCTTTCATCATTCAACTTAAACAATTATCTCCAAGGTTAACAATGATCTCTTAATTACCAAACCCAATGATCTTTTCTTATTCCTCATCCTTCTTGACCTCTCTGCAGCAGTTATTTTGTCTTGTTTTTAAGACTGGGCCTCCCTGTCTTTCTTAAGCTGAAGGTGCAGCAGCCACGCATGGCCCAATACCACCAATAACAACATTGATTCACTTGGGAGCTTGACCAGTTCCTGCTTCCAAAGTACACAGGTTCAGCCCCTTGCTCCCAGATGTTCACCATATTGGTGCCAGATTTAGCTCAGACATCGATTGGCTCAGCTGCAGATACTCAAAGCAATCCACTCAAACTCAAGTAATCCGCCAGCCTCAGTCTTCCAAGTGGTAGAGGTTACAGGTGTAGACACTACATTTTCACAATCACACACCTGAGTGAATAGCACACAAAAAATACAGTATGCCACCATATCTGTTTGTTGCTTACCATAAGGCATTTGACACAGCAAAGCACAGTGCCTCTCACATAGTAGCCACTTTATAAACATGCAGAATTGAATTGAATAAAAAGTCCTTCCCTGGGCCTGAGTTGCTGCCCTGAAGCAGAAGAAGGAAAAGGTTCCCCAAGACTGAACCCCACTCCCCCCTACATAATTTTCACTTTTTCTCCCTTCCCCCCCAACTCTTCTCCCAGGGCATCCCATGCAGTACTTACTGTATTGGAACAGCATCAAGAGGCTGAAACCTAGAAGGAAATAATCCTACTGTCAGAGAAGGAGCTATTCATCCCAGCTTCCACCAGGATATTTGCCTAGCCCTCTCCTCCCCACCAGCCAAGTTGTACATAGCCATTGCCCCTGGGGCATCTCTGGAGCCCAGCCCCGACACCAGTCACGGCCATCCTTGGACAAGTAGGTGGGAGGCTGGGTTCCAGAGAGGGCCTCGAGGCAGTGGGAGCCACACACCACAACTTTACTCCTGAAAATCCAGGTTTCCAAACTCCTCTTGCCTGACTCCTTACTGACCTAACTCAGCTGCTTTCAGAGCCATCTTGACTGGAAGGCAGGACACCAGAAAGCGGTGGCTGCTGTGTGTGTTGGCTGTCAGCTGCCTCTGGGTCTGCTGTCAGTACTGGCATCTGCCTCCCTGATGCCTGTACGGGCTCCCCCAGCTCCTGGCTTCCCTTTTATCTATCTCTACTCAACTGCTGTCCACCTCAAGCCCATCCTAGTTTACAGGAATCGAGCATTTCACAAGTAAAGGAACTGAAGACTTAGTGGTGGTGGTGGAATGCTTTGGGCAAAGAAAGCATTGTGAAATGTTGGAGAATTTCATAATCCACCAGATTGGGCTTGTTTTTTAAGAGTCCTACCAAGGGTAGAGTCCAAGCTAATGGGTCTTTACACTCGCCCTTGCCGCGGGTCATGGTCATCACCTCCCTTCCCAAATCCCACACCTCATCCCTCTGCCTCCCCAGAGAACAAACCTCAAGGCTCCCCTGCCAGAGTTAGCCTCATTTCCTGAGACTCCCCCTGTTTTTCCCACTCTAATCCCTCTCCTTGTCCAAGTCTGGGACGAGTCTCTCCCAGGTTGCTTCCTGGATTAAATCGCTGGACTCTTTCACCTAGGCAAACATTTCTCAAGTCCCTCAGCCACTTGGTCTTTGTCATGAATGTAAACAAGCCCAGTGAGATTATGTAACTTGTAGGTTCCCTGAATAAGGCCCCCATTTTCTCCCTGCTGAGCAGAGGCTCAGTGCCCTCAACTCCCTGACCTACTGTACAAAACTGTTGACAGAAGTTGTTGGAAAAGAAACTGGCTTGGGATTCTAAGAGACAGGAAACCATGGGCAGGGCAGGCTGGAAATTACAAATCAGACTGCTCCCTTGGTTAGGCAGGTTTTGCCAAAGAAAGTGGACATTTCAAAACAGTACAGAACTCATTTCTATTCAGCTTGGCAGTCTGCGTGGCATGCATTGTAGGACGGGCCCCAAAGGCTTCCACCTGATTCTGGGATGCCTTGCTCTTCCCCGGGTTTGGGGCACTATCTTGTGCCAGCAGGTTTCCAACCTCTTGTTTGAGTCCCCATCCAGTAGGGTAGACCAAACCAGTCTGATGTGTGAAATCATTACTATAAGGCCCTTAATGAAAATAGGAGAGCAAGGTAAATTGAAGGTATTGAATTAAATAGGCATATTTCCTCTGCCATGGGTGTCTGGCGGAGTGCTAGGCTCAGCTTCCTGTTGACCACTGTTTCCGCAACACAGCAGGAGAAGCAAACCTCAAGGCACACACAGCAGGGGGTCAGCAGCAGAGCTAAATGTTGTTAGTTTCTCACTATGGGACCATTGTAGAGAGCACTATTGCTTCTCCTGGGCATGAGAATCAGATGATCCTTGAAGATTAGGACACAGCTCCCATTTTCTTCTCTTCTCTACCCAGTGAATCCCCTACCTTCTCTAACTCTATCATCTGTCAGATTTTCTTCAATACCTTTGAAAACTTACAGCCTGCTGGGGGGTGTGGTTCCTAGAGTAAGCATAGGCTTCGTGTCTATGGATATACCTGTGTCCATCATATTTTTCTAATATCTTTGTAATTTGACACACTTCAAACCAAAGTCCTTGACTTCCTGTGAAGGTCTGATGCAGGAGGAGTTACAAAGCTGAGCCCAATCTGTCATCCCCTGCCAAATACTTCCTAGGTCTCGTTGCACACTGGAGACAGTAGCTCTGCTATCCATGAAAAGTATGCAAAACACCTGAGCCAAGTGGCCACTATTCATTAAACTTTCTGTTCTTCCAGATGGACATGTGGAGGACTGTTAAGTATTTACATATTCCTTTCTAGGTCTTGAAGGGCCAAGGGACTGCACTAGGGAGTTAGTCTAAGCAGTGGAATGAAGGAATAAAAGATGGACAGAAGGAAAGAAGGGAGGGAGAGAGGAAGGAAACAAGCAATTTATTAAGCACCTCGTCTGTGCCAGGCACTATGCCAAATGCTTTACAAATATAATCTAATTTGATTCTCACAACAACCCTGAGAGTTAGGTGCTGTTATTCTCCCCGTTTTATAGTTAAGGAAACTGAAGCAAACAGAAATTAAATTACTTACCTGGGATCGGGGGCTGGATTTGAATTCAAGCCTTACTGACTCTAGGCCTAGAGGCACCATGGAGAAGTGGATGGAGAGCCCACCCTAGATATAGAAAGAGCTTGACTTAAGTCCCACCTCAGACACATATTGGTTATGCGACCTTATGGGCAATCCCCTAACTTCTCAGTGCTTCAGCTAACTCTGGATGACTGTAAGTTACAGAGTAGTTGTTGTCCTGCACTGGTAGATACAATTTCCTTATACCAGTGAAATTGTAAGTCTACATAACTAAACAAACAAACCAACTGAAGGAACAAACAAGTAACTAACTAAATAGCTAGAAAGAAAGAAAGATTAGATATATAGATAGGTAGATGGACAGATAGATAGATGGATAGATAGACGGATAGACAGATGGATAGATAGATGGATAGATGGATAGATGGATAGATAGATGGA